GGGTGGATGCGCGTTTCGCTTTCCGCTCCGGACGGCCTCTAGCAGCGGCTCCGGGACGCAGGGCTGCCGCTGTGCTCGTGTCCGCGCGAGCTGGGCGCCGCGGGGTCCCCTCCACAGGGCACGTCCGTCAGAATGACACAGCTGCAGTTCAAAGACGCGTTTTGGGTAAGTGACCATTTCCTCTGTTAAATGGGTCTATACTGGAAATTATGTTACAACACATCTTAGCTTTAAATAGAGTTTAAATGAACTTCAATACTTTTCTATAGTCTAAACTTACTGTAGCAAAAAGGCAAATTTCTCTCCATGCAAAAACATGCTGCCTGGGTTGTGCAGGTTTTTGGTGTGAAGCAGAATGCTGCTTTGTCAAGAACTATGTCCAGTTCATGCTAACAACCACCGTGGGAAAGGACACGGGTTAGTCTGTCTCTCAGCCCTCAGAGCACTTGCTTGCAGTGGGTACCTGCTTTTTAGACTCTTTTAGACTTTGGTAGCACCGGCAAAGTGGCCTGTGGCATCCAAAACGTTCTGCCTGTTTTCACATGCAGACAGGCATGCAGGAGGTGATTGGGGTCCTGGAGCCCTGCGGCACCATACACGGAAAAAAACCAGCAGGGAGGCTGGAGAATGGAGTCAGAACATTTTCAGCTGGCTTCAGAAGAGGGAAAATAAAGCAAGGTGGTATGTTTGGTTCTGGCTATTCGACTGGCAGTTGAAGGATCTCTGGGCATCAGGTTTTCGCGCTCTTTCTCTGCAGTCAACAAGGGTGGAAAAACCCTTGTTTATCCTGCAAGTGTCACCTGAGACTTTCTTGTAATTTCCTCTGGAACTGATATTTTAGGCAGGGGGGTACCCAAAACCTAATACAGCAAGTTGGGAACACAAGGTGTTGTTCCATGGTTGCCTCCCACCTTGGCAATTCCTTTTCCAGCCTGAGGATTTGGCGTATAAAAGACAGGCAGGCAGCCAAATTCCTCCTACCATTTGCCCACCAAGCACGGTGGAGTGGACCCTCCACAGTGTACGCCCTTTTTGAGCTCTTCTTGAGTCCTCTGCACCTCCAGGATAAACTCTCTTGCCCAGACGGATGGGCAGGCCCAAGAACGCATTTTGGCAAACCACCTTCCTTCAGGCACTTCCAGGAAACTTGGAAGCTTTCAGGAATCGCCCCCGCTGCAGTACTGGGCTTGAACAGTTAAAAATAAAGCAATGAGGAAATACAAAAATAATTTTCATTTTAAAAAGGCATTCACGGGTTCACTGATTTCCATTTTCACCACACCTACGAGAGATTCTCCACACCTGCTCCTCTGCAAGGTTACTAACCACGTTGTCAAAAACACAGCGTAGGGCATAAAGCCTAACCCAGCGCTACGACGGGAACTTCAGCTTTTGCATTTCTGCACTTCCTTCCCAATTGTGCAATCTTATTTTAGAACTGACACATTTTGTATATTTACTGTGTTTAGTCACGTTAGCAAGAGTATAATCCCTGCTAGGCTTGATGCGCACACCTTCTGCACAGGAGATCTTTGCTTCTAGCACTGTTTGACTGGAAACTTTATATTGCCAAGCTTGACTAGGAGGGCTTAATGTAGCCTGTGCAACATGGTAGCCTTAGCTATGCAATAAAAAGCATTTTTTAAATGAAAACTCACAGGATGTTGCACAACGTGGCCGAAGAGTACAGCTTTCCCCCCAAAGTGCAACATCAGCAGTTATTTTTGCATTCATAAGATTCTGTTGTACCCATCAGTAAGATGTATCTGCTTGAGTAATTATTGCCTTTATTCAATTTGAATCATGAATGGAGACCATCTTTATGGTTTTTTTTTTTTAAAAAAAAGGTATATTTGCATCACAGTGGGTCACTCAGATCCCTGATCTCTACGACCTGCCTACAGACGACATTTCCCTTTACTTTATCAGGACTGATCTCTACGACCTGCCTAAGGACTATCTCCCTTTACTTTATCAGGGCCTAGACTAAAACTGCTACACGTTCAGTAATGGTTTAAGGAATGGTTGATGGTTGCTCAAAGCCTCCACTAAAATGTGTTTCTTCAGCAGTAGTTCCCTGATTTTTCTTTTTTTTTGGCAAAATTTTGGGGAGATTAAAATACAAATCAGTTCTGATAGCCAGCGCAGGGCAATAAATACTCTGCTGTGCTGCAGTATCAATGTACCAGATGTGACCTCTCATCTCTAGCCTCGTACTAAACAGGTAGGAACATTCCCATATTAATGAGGAGCATGTCCGTGATACCAGCTGAGTCCCTTGTTAACAGGTTCTGTTACTAGGCAGAGATGTGAGCAACGTTCAATTTAGTGCTACAAAAAGCAGTAACCAAGCTATTTCCTTCCCTTCTGTCACTAATATTGATGGTCTCCTTGGCCTCGTTCCACATTCTGGTAGTGGCCAATTGCTTCTCCACTGATATTTTTTTGTCGCCTTTTCCTTCTATTTCCTTTTCCAAAGAGGCTGCTCAACACCCCAGTGGCAACCCCAACTCTGTGAAATAAGACTACTATGGGCCAGGAGGTAGATGGGACATTTACCGGCATCCTTTGTTGCTTTGCCTTAGCCACTGGGAAGAAGGAATGAGGAAAACTTTTGGAGAATGCATTAGGTTTTTGGGCAGGATCTAAACTGCTCTGAGTTCAGTGGGAGCAAATCTATTCATCCTCTGGATGAAACACAAGTGGCCAAATCAATGCTGAAAATTACAGGCTCCTAATGCACTTAAGATGAAAGAAAAGGATGCTGCACAGTGTGAAGTGCTTTTTCTTCCTCAGCTGTGGAACAAGCGTGGGACTTGTGGATTTTGATAGCTCAAATTTAAAAGCACTAGTGAGCTGGAAGTACAGGCCAGCAAATAGGACATACGCCTGAACCCAAGACTTAGTTCCTTGTCCTGCTGTGGACATTTCTTTTCCCCTGGGTCACGCTGCATCCCTTACCACTAAAACAGCAGGATCCTGCTTCCTCACGCGCTCTAAGCAAAACCAGACTAGAAATTATAGTCAGATACTATAGTAATGGGAGCCGTATTAGTCCCCGAGATAAGCAGCCTGCTCTAAACAAAGGTGCTTTCTTTACCTCTCTTGTTTGGACTTTAGAATACAGCCTACAGCAGATTTAACACAAAACTTACTGCATAGGTGAATCTTTCAACTATTACTGTAGCTTTTTCACACAACAGTAGGTTGCACATGCCCCAAAAGATGCAAGTAGTTTCATGAAAATTTTCACTTCTAACGTGACTGCAACCTGTGATACAACAGCAGAGAAATTATCATAAAAGATTCGTAACGCCTTATGGGAACACTATTTTTATGACTTCCTATGCACTACATCAAAGAAATACAACAATATGTATTTTTTAACTCAAAAAAGGAAGTCATTGTCACACGAGGAGCCACCCTGCTTTCATGCAGAGGCTGCGTTAAGCGGAGCCCTGTATGTGGCTGTGTTTTGGGCGGTGGCCGTGCTGAA